TGCCAGTTTGAAAACTAGCAAAGAAAAAAAAAGTGTGTTTTTGTTTTAAAAAAATGAAGGAGCAGTTCTCTGGTTCTCTTTTTTCTAAAAATGGGTCATCAGACGTTACTCTTCTAGCTCTACAAGATGTGCAGAGATGTTGAAATTGTAGAGGATCCTCCAAGGAACTGAACTCAAAGTTTCACAACCCACAGCTGTAATTCTAGAAAAAGGGGTTTATATCGTTACTTTATCTTTTTCTTATAGCTAATCTCTTTGATCAAAAGCAGTTTGCATGAGGTTCATCCCTTTACATTTTTCAATCATTAAATTTCTCTTATGTTTTTCTGTCCCTTAACAAGAAGTGGAGCTTTTGGATAAAGTTCATGCTTCTATTCAGAATTACCTGCACTTTATTTGTCTTGGTCTGAGCTGCAGTCCTTATATTTTGAGAAATTTGACTGATTCTATTTTTCTTCAACCTGACCTTCTGGACTATGTTTTTTATTTTAATTCCTCTCATAAGATTTTGACTCAGTCTATATAGTGAGCCTGACCTTTTAAAACAGCACTGTTGCTTACTTTTTGGAATTAAGTTTCAAAAAAGCCTAATAAAATCTGATTTCTTGTCAATTTGTTTCCTTGTGGCTGATTCCAGTGATATTCAGAGTTAAATTGAAGCTGCACCATGAGCAGATTTTTAGACCCTTCTTGGACATTAAAGAAACCACACATTAGGTACTAAAATTAACAGACATTTTAAGTATTTCTTTATGAAGCCTGCTTCATTGTCTGTTGCTTGTTACATGCTACTGAACCCACTGGAGATTCTAAAACCTTTCCCAATTTCACTCTATAGGAACAGCAGAAACAGTCTCAAACCGGTTGCTGGTTCTGAGACATGCTCCCACAAAACTTGACCCCATCATCTGAACTAACAACAACAACTTAAAACTAAGGCCTGTGTTAGTCTGGTCTTCAGAAATAGTCCCTTGTTTCCACAGATTCATTGGCTTTATTAATCTGATTTTATTGATTCTAGCTTTTTGTTCTCATGGCTCAGTATGGTCAGCAAGTGTAGCAGGACATTTTATTTACTGATTCAAGGTATTGCACACCAACAGAGGGCCTCTGTCACTCATTGTTATAGCAGCTGAATAAAGGGAATGCTCTTGGTCTGCTCACCAGCTGGGTCTTACAGCCCAATGAGAGACACCCCAGAGTGAGCATGCATTGCTGGGACACCTGGCAGCCCAAATATGAGCTCACTCTGGCAGCAAGCTGTGACTTTATTATCAGCACCTGTAAGATAGGCACAATTAGCTCTACAGCAGCTTCTGACAAGTAGAGCTCCAGGGAAACCAGGTTTGATCAGGTCTTACATGTGGCTGTAGGTGAGCACAGACCCCTTGTGCTGTTTATGGGGCACTGGAGTGCTGGTGGCGAGCTTTTCATCAGTGCTCTTAGGATAAGATCCTTCTTTCTCTGCTCTCCTTCTCCCTTCAGCCTCTCTCCAGGGGCCCCTGCAAGAGCTGGTCTTCCATCCAGTCTGAAGCTCCATCACACCAACCTGGCACTGGCTATCTCAATATTGTCTCTCACCTCCTCTTCCCTGCTGCCTTCAGATTGCTTCTATCTAGTGTGTGTGAACACTGAGGTAGGGACAATGCAAGCAGCACGTGTGTTGTTACAAGTCAGACTTTTTCAGCTTTTCTCAATCCCTTGCCCAGCATCTCTTCAAAAAGTTCAGTGCTGCTTGTCGTGAGCTCCAATGGATTTTAAGAATCTTTACCTACAAGTGAACCTCATAATTTTACTAAAAAATTGAAGCTATTGTTCAGTTATAAAAGCAATAAGTCAGTGATATAGCTTCAAATTTTACCTATGAAGGTTTTACATTCAGAGATTAGTAGGAGTTATGTTTACTGGTGTGCCACTCATTCCCTCCATAAAAACATTCCTGGAAATGGAAGTGAGTTTCATTCCTCACCAGTGGGGCTCAAGTTGGTGTACTCAACAAGTGTGCAGTCATGTACACTGTCAAATCAAACTACATTTGTCAATCTCTTCTATCTAGTGACTGATAATATGATGCATCTTCACAGTAATCAGTCCATCACACTGAACTATCTGGTATGTAAGTGGTATGGCACTCCCACAAGGAGATATTGTCATTTGTGTGAGGTCTCCACCAGTACTGAAATGTCTGCTAGGAACACATACCAAAAGTTGATGTACCAGTGTGACATTTTGTGACACACAAATGTCATCAAGTAGATTTATGGGTACAGAAACCTGAAAATGCAACTAACAGTTTCCATTCAATTTATTGCAAACTTGCACCACCTGAAGAAAAAAGACTTGGGGAAAAAAAGAGTCCTGGGACAGAATGACAAATACTTTTCTTAGGTAAACATGATATGACAGTGCACAACACTTATCAAAAGTCTATAACTACAGCAAAGCATATTAATCCTTTTCATCTGGAGAAGAGGTCTAATGAAGGCAAGAGAACATAGACTGAGCTGTTACTTGTTCTATTTACAGCAGAATATTCAATATGTCCAAATTAGGTTTGTATTGGCATATACTTTATTTTGTGAGTAACAAGTGTCTTTGTTTTGAAGTGGTTGATTAAAGACATTCAGCCAAAACTGCTTTATTGCTTAGGGTATTAATACTTACCAGATTTTTCTTTCAGACTCTCAGCTTTTGGTGACTAATCTTTTGCTGCCACCGTAGCAATCACACCCAGTCTTAGTGTCTGTAAGATGTATTCTTCTGAGGACAATGGGGAAAAGATATGATGTACCACACCCTAAGATTTCTATCATGGAGACTAGTGAAAAAAACCCAAATAAAACATTTTACACAAAGGTGTAAAGGAAGCTGGGTTACAAACAACAAACTCTTCGAGGCACAAGCATTTCTAATCTGAATTAACACTTCTTCACATGGCTGTTTACTGGCAGGAAGGACAACAGGGTTTTTTTGCCCCTACTATTCTTAGGTTCTGTGTTTGTTTCTCTCTTGTAAATCTTGCACATACATAATTGTACATTGCAGTGCATATTAATTCCATTATCATGGTATCATTTTTGTTTTGGCTTTCTCCAACTTTCTCTTACTGAACTAACTGTGTTTCCTCATGCAGTGAGGAGGAAGAGAATGTTGCTCCCTTCTACTATTTTATCCAGGCTTCTGCTGTATGCTGCCTGTTTTTTATAGATAAGGGCTTGTCACAGAAAAATAGATTTTACTTTTGGGCCACAGTTGTGCATTTCACAAATTTTCAGCTCTCAGAATCTCATTTTTACATAGGCCTTTAATTCTCACACTTTGTTTTTTTAGAGTACATTTATAGTACATAAATTCTAGGTCTAGAAGTTGTGTTTGGGGCTATCAAAACTGTGCATTGAAAATGCTCCTCATTGCACGTGTAAATCCTGGGCTTTTTATCGAGCAGGTTAGGAAAATCACACACCAGATTTCTTCCCAGTGCGTACTAGGTCACAGAAAGGATGAAAGGAGTCTGGAAAATGGCAAGGTGTGTGCCGGTATTGAAATCAAATACCTTGAGAGGGTTAAAAATTCACTGTAGTATAGTACGGGAGAAATAAAAGAACTTACGGAAAACAGCAGAATAACCAAAGCTGCAGGAACAAAGAGCTGTGGCCCTAGAAAAAAGAGCAAGAGGACACTGTAAATCAAACTACAAAGGAAATGAAACTATTGCTAAAGAAGTCTCCCTGAGCTTAGTGCTTAGTCATTAACATAGTTAAGTACCCACCTATAGTCTGTGATCATCCCTTATTCACAGAAACCCCTTCTTCACGGAGCATGCAGGGTAGAGTAAGTGTACACTGTATCTTTAAATGGAGTTGAGAGAATGCTGAGCCAAGGACTACAGCTTTAAGTTGTTACCTATTTCAGAAATGTCGAATTTTTATTATTCAAAGGGCATAAAAATGAGCACCTGTCATACTGAAAGTGTGCTAGCTTTGTGGATTCGCCACCTAGCACCCATCTCTGTGCAGATATGAAAGAAGCAAATACCTCAATTCTGTGTGTGTGAACTGGCTTCTTGTGCACCAGATGAAAGAACCCATATTCAGGACAACACCAGGACCCAGGAACCAGAAAGTACTTTTGTGTGCCAAAGATTAGATATAGTGTGTAAATGTGCATACCTTATATTAGCAACCCCGAAAGTTATGTCCAAATGGCTCTTTTACTTCTGTCCATTTGGTTTCCGTTTAATTCAAAAGGTCAGAAATCAAAATCAGAAAAAAAATCAGAAAAAAAAAAAAAAAAGGGAGTGGGTATAGAATTTGGCTTATCCCATGGTGGACAAATGAGAACAGTGTGCAGGAATATGAGGAGGTGTGGATCATAGGCTGAAAAAAGGAATGGGCACAATGAAGTAGGGAGAATGACATGGTGAAGCAGCAGCATATTTTCATACTGAACTTGGAGTATTTAAATCCCTTACACATAGAACTTGGGAGATCAGGCACATGGCTTGGCTGGGGTCACTCTACACAGTGCAAGAAGATCTGAAATTGGCTGCAGAAAGTCTATGGGGAATCCTGTATTTATTCCAATGTTAATAAAGGGACATCTTTTCTTGCCCTCTTTTATTCCTTCTCTTTCCTTGTTTATAGCACACACAACCTTCTTTCTCCAGATTTCTCTGGTCTAAAATCTGTGGCCCCAGACTTTTCCCAAAGCTGTCGTAGTTCACTCTCCTCAAGCTTGCTGGTGGATAAAAGGTGTGTCATCTAAAGTAGCTTCTGGACTGGACAGGCAGTTCTATGCTTGCTTGGTTTGAAGTGTGGTACTGCCAGTGTTGAAGCCCATGGCTGCCTCTTTTTTCCATCTCCACTCTGAGAGCAGAACCTTTTTCTTACATGTAGAGAACATGGGCTACAGAGTAAAAACAGTTTCGCAGACACAGCTTTTCTTTATTTTTATTTCTATTTTTATTTTATTTTATTTATTTTATTAATTTCACTGCAATAACATGGAAACAGGAAGTAACTTAATTCCAAAAAGATAAGGATTTAAAATAGAACACAGCAGTAGTAATATCACAGTTACAGCAAGGTTTGTATCGCACTAAACTAATTTATTCTTTAATATTAAAAAGGTGCTTTCACTTTGTTTCAGTAAGAAGTACAAAATAAGAGAAAAATATTATTTCCAAGCAAGGAAGTTTACTGTGAGGATAGATTTTGGTCTTTTGTTTAGTCCATCTGTGGCTATAAACCACATAAGGTAGTGGCCAGGTAATAACAGCTAATAAGATAACAGCTACATAACAACTAATAGAAACATGCCTAGGCATTATAAGGCTAGAGGGGGAAGAGTATTTGCACCACATAGATTAAGGCATAATCTATACCTTAATTTAGGCATTAATTTAGGTGATACCTAAATTAAGAGGCTGACATTTCCAGGTCCTTCTACAACTGGACAGGTAATCTTCCCTTGAGACTATTTAAATCCTATGTCTACTTCTGCCCTGGGCACTTCTTATTCTCTACTGGCAACTTGAAGAGATGTGCTGTAATTTAGATATCTGCATCAGATGCCTGATGTTAAGTAGTGTGGAATCCCCTCTGGTGCCCTTACCTTGCTGGAGGTTGGTTGAACCTGCCCTTCAGATTTCCATAAACTAGTCCTTACATGCACGAGCAGTGCCCTTTGAAATAAATGGGGAGAAACAGGGAAGGAGAGCTCACTTGCATAAGGAGTGCTCACCTGCACTTCCGTACAGTTTGAAGTAAGAAACTCTGTGCTATGCCCCTCCTTCCTCTTAGTTGTTAGCACCACATCCCTAGAATACCACTTTCTTTTACAGGGAAACTCCTAATAATGGAATAAGTGTATGGCCATAGGACAACACACAGCATAAAGGTCTCGAGTCTTCAATCTCCTGGGAAGACAGAACAAGTATGACTCCTCTGGAGTTGGCTATTTTTGCAGTTCCGAGGCTACTGTCTTCCTGGAAGTGTATCCCAAACATCAGACTTACTGTGTGCCTGAAGAGCATGTTTCTCTCATACAGAAGCTTAACCTGACACACTTGTGTCGCGTGTAGCCGCATAAACTTTTCCACACACATGATTTATCTGTCCAGAACTAGGAAAGCCTCCTCTCAGTACTGTGCTCATAGTCTCCACAAAATCCTTCAGATTTCCATGATATTTTGTTCATACAGAATCTTGCATAGCAAATGCTGAGTTAATTTTCATTCTGGCCTTGCAGATCTTGGAAAATGTCAGTAACAGAACAGTGATAGGGTAGACATAAAATTAAAAAACTAAAATCAAAATACTATAACTTAACCATGTTCAAAAATGACTACAATATTACCTAATTGATAAACCCTTGGGTTAAATGGTCCCAGTAAGATAGAGGTCAGTCAACTCTCCCATCACAGGAGAGATATTGTCTTGATATATAACTCATATTAATCCTTGAATTCCTTTTTAGTTAAACACCTTTTATTCACATGGGGAAAATGAGGGGTAGGAGGGGAAAACGAAGAAAACCAAAAGCCTCTCCTTATCAAATGGCTGATCATGTAGCAGAAAGAATACAGACAGTTTCAAAAGGTACTTCACTAATGTTGAATACTGAACAGCTAGATCAATTCCCAAAGCTTCCTCCAAGTGTTTATCTTACAATGTTAACGTAACAGAAGTGGATCTTATGAGATGACCTATTACTCCTTACTCTTTTCAATATTGATAAATCTCACTGCATAGAATTTTTGTAAAGAAACAGGAGCCTACTATTCTGGGTCCCATTTAAATCTTGATGTGCTACAGCTATGCTATTAATATTTCCTGGAGGGTTCATTGATTCTCTTAGTTTAGCAAAAGAAAATGCTGTAATCCCAGGGAACAGTTAACCACAAGAATTGAGGGTCATACAGTTTTCAGTAGTGGTTGACATAAAGATCTTAAATAATGTCAGGCAGTCGTTAGGGCAAAACAAGTGGTGCAACATTAACTAAGTAATGTTCTGATGCAATTTTACAGTCCAGTAGAGATGTCATGCTCTGCAGTGGATGCTGTGAACGTGGAACTGGCTCTTTCTAATTTTTCATGATAAAGACTTGGACACTTTTTGCAAAGGTGAGCTGCAACATGCTTTCGGAAAAAGGTAAGAAGATATTTCCTAAATTTTTCTCCAACAAACGCATAGATCACAGGATTGATACAGCAGTGGATCATTGATATTGTCTCTGTCACTTGGATTGCCTTCTCCAGTTGGCCTTTGATATCACAACTTGGAGTGAAAAGTGAACCTTGAAATGTATGCAAAAAAGAAGAAATATGAAATGGTGTCCAGAAGATGAAGTAAAAGATCATGATGACAAAAATAAGTCTGACTGCCTTCTGTTTTTTCTCATTCTTAGATCTCAATAACATTTTAAGTATTTGTGAGTAACTGAAGATCATAATGAGCATTGGAACAATAAGTCCCAGAATGTTCATCTTTAAAATAAAGGAGTACTTCCAATTTATTGTGGAATCACTTGGATAATGAGCACTGCAAGTATAATGTAAACCTTCCTTCTGAGTTTTTTGAAAGACCATGCCAGGAACAGAAGCTGAAACAGCAACAGCCCAAGTGATGGTGCTGGTGAGGATGCCATAGGTAACTGTCCTGGCCTTTAAAGCAAACACTGCGTGCACTATGGCCAGGTACCTGTCCAGGGTCAACAGGATTATGAAAAAGATGCCACTGTAGAAGCCAAGCAGGTAAACACCTGAGAGAATTCGACACAGCGCCTCCCCAAAAATCCAGTCGTGAACTGCGTAATAAGCCCAAAAAGGGAGAGAAAATACAAACAGCAGATCGGAAATTGCCAAGTTGAGCAGGTAGATGTCAGTCATACTCTTCAGCCTCTTGTATTTTACCAGGATAAGGATAACAAGCATGTTGCCTGTCAGGCCAAATATCACCACTAAAGAATAAAGTGGTGGCAAAAGTTTTGCTGCAAAGTGTTTTTCCTCAGTTCCAGAACAAGGCGTCGAATCGCCATAGTCAAATTCTGTTGTATATGCCAAATCCGTGAAGTCTGTTGTATCATTTCCCATGGTGTTTTGGTCTGGAAAGGAAGAAAAGAATGGTAAACCAGAGGAATCTCCAATCTTGGCAGTGAGGAGAATGAAACACTTTGGTGTTCTCATCTGGAATGTGTTTTGCTGGTGAGGATACAAACATTACTCTGACAAGGTGTGAAAGAGAATGAAATTGCAGAGCTCCCAGGAAACCCATCTCTACATCTGTGGAATTACATTGCTTCATGTTGGAAGTATGTTGTGTGTCACTTCCCACATGCAGTGTGCCTAGTGCTGTTTTCCTTCTCAGTAGAACCTGACTCAACCAGAAGCAGAGGAAAGATGAATCGTGGGTAGTTTGGGGCTTTTGTGCTCCCTAGTGTCTTTCCGATGGAGTGTAGAAAGCCAGCAAGGCAGTCAGAGGAAAGCACAGTATCTGGAACACAGAGCACAGCTGTGCATCTGTTTAGGACCTGGCCACTTGCTCATGTTACCAGTCCATCCAGTACCCCTCACCCAAGGAGGACCATGCACTGTCCAGGTGTAAATGATGCCTGCAAAGGCACTGTGACATGGGTGAAAAACAGCTGACAGCATTTTTTCAGGTTGCTTGTGACCCAGGAGCCTTAATGCCTATGGGAATCAGAACACTGGAAAACACTAAACATACCTGCTGTCCTGGCTGTTGCAGAGCAGAAACTCAGCAGTGTTTGATCTGAGTTAAAATGGTAAAAACACTGTGTCCCTTAGAGAGCCTGGGCCAAGTGTAGGCAATGGCAGCGTGCTGGTTTCAGGCCGCTCTGGAATGAAAATCATGCACAGCCCTATAGAGAGAACAGAGGGACAAACACATTGGCAAGTGGTACAAAAGATGAGAGTTGCTGTCAGGGTGGCCTCTGACACCTGTGTCTGTTGTGGCACCTTCCTGTCAGTTGAAATACCTCCCCAGTGCTGCTTGGGCATGTAAGGAGTTTTGATTCCTTGTTTCAGTAGCTGTTTACTCAGGAGCTGCAAAGTTAAGACTTGACTGAGTGTCTTGGAGGAGGCACAAAGGCAAAAGGCAGATGTGGACATCGCTACGTGTGTGCACTACAGTTCTTCATGTGATGTTGTTCTTCATCCTTTGTTAGTCAGTGTTTCCAGTGGGGTTACACTGAGGAAGTGCAAAGGCTCTGCAACCTCTCTTTCCCTTCAGTTTTGGTTTGGGAAATATTGGAGGGACTGAGCTTCCCTTGCAAGGAGGAGTCAGGGCCTGGGAGGTGAGTGTGCAGCAGAGCTGTGAAAGCCCTCAGGTAAGTTCTCTTACAGTGAGAGCCCCTCCAGTCACCAAAGCCTTCCCCTTTCCCAAGTCCCAAGTAGAATTGTGAGACAGGCGCAGAAGCATAGCTAGCTTTGTGTAACTTGGTCTCTGAAACGTTGAGGAGAACTGTCTTCTCACAGACCTCTGGAAAACATGGAAGAATTCCTGTGTGTCCCATGAGAAGCTGGGAAGAGGATTTTGTGAAGATGAGTGACAGAGGGACCAAATGCGTTCCCTGGTCTCTTAGTGGGGAAGTCAAATCAATGCCTTTGGTAGCCACTCAAATAGAGCTACTCGCTGTCTGGTTAAAGGGCTACTTTTTCTTGCTGTTTCATGACTGCTTTTATCAGGTGCTTCGTGGCAGAGTGGTGGCTGCCCATGGAAGGTTAATGGTTTTGAAATGAGCATCTTCCTGTCAATTTGATGCCTGTTCTTAGACAAAGGCAACAGACTGCTCCTGACACAGATCAGGCAGTGCCTCTGCCCCAGCTTGCTGTGTGAATCCTGACCACTCATGTTCCACAGCAGTGTTTACTCCTTTCCTCAGTGCACTTTTTTCATTGGTGTGGTCTACCTTGTGTGATTGCAGGCGTCTTTTACAGACACCACACTCTCAAAACCACCACCTCATTCTCTCTGCACTTGAGTTCTGCAAGACTAAATGTAACTGAAGAACCTCAACCCATGGCTGGAGTGACACAGAGACAGGCCTCTGGTCTGTTTTTTGGTAGACAATTCAATTACATGGTGGGTCATTCTGAGCTGAAGCATGTCAAATTTCTAAAGTGTCCTAAGCTCATGTCAGCCTACTCAGCAGTTTGAGCAAAGGCTTATTTCCTGATATGTAATTACAGACCATTCAGGATCCAGAGGATTTAGTCTTGACCTGGATTTTTATCTCAGGGGATAAATATAATACAAATAACCTTCTTGAATAAATTTTATTGGTTACACAGAGTTAAAACAATTTTCTCTATGTGCATATGCACAAGTAAACATTTATATATAGACACATATAAATTGTAATATTGTAGAATCATAGAATAATTTAGCTTAGAAAAGACCTCTAATATTATTGAGTCCAACCATTAATCTAACAGTGCCAAGTCCACCATGTACCTAAGTGCCACATCTACACGTCTTTGAAATATCTCCAGGGATGGTGACTCAGCTGTTTCCCTGGGCAGCCTGTTCCAATGCTTGATATGCCTTTCAGTGAAGAAATCTTTCCTAGTATTCAATATAAATCTCTCCCGACCCATTTAGCCTTGTTGAATCTTTGTGTTTGTATACAAAGAAAATCATTAAATTTTTTTCTTTCTAGTTTGGAACTTATTCTGAGTTGTAACACCAGCAGAAAATAATTGTGGGAGCAGAAGAACTAAAGTTAACTGATTCCCTACAGATTTGTCTCCTTTGCTGTCCAAGTCTTATGTCCTGTGGGGGGTTGACGCCGGCTGGCAGCCAAACCCCTATCTAGTCACCCACTCACATCCTCTGACAGCACAATGGGGAAAAGAATCAGAACTGTTGAAGCAAGATAAACTTGCAGGCTAAGATAAAAACAGTTGAATAAGAAAACGAAACTGAAAAAAACCACAAGAGATGATACAAGGACAAATGCTTGTCACCTACTTACAAGCAGATGGATGGCCAGCCAGTCTCTGAGCAATGCCTACTTTGGAAAAACTTCCCCTTATTTTTTGCTGTGATCCTTTTGGTCAGTTTGGGTCCCTTGTTCCAACTGTGATCACAAATCTAAAAGACATCACCATAAGGGCTGCTGTGAAGAAAGTCCATCCCAGTCAGACCAAGTTCACCTTCCCACTACCAAAACTGAGCTCCTGCCCTACACAATTCACATTGATGCTGACTAGAAAGACAGCATGTACTGTGATTGTTTTGTTTACTGTCTGTGACCTGATGGGAACTCTCAGAGCATTTGCATGGGCTAGAAGTCGGATCCTCCTCTTCCCAACAAGCACAAACTATTAAAAATATTTTCTGATATTATGTATAAAAAATTCCTTCTCCTTTGTATACAGGCAATGTTAATCACAAAGAACTTTAGAAAACTGACCTGGCTTAAAAATTCTGCTGGAAATTACTTATTTGCATTTGACTTGATGATCTCTGAGGTCTTTTCCAACCTGGTTGATTCTATGTTTCCATGATTCTATGACTTTTTTTTTTTTTAATTCATCTTTAAACATTTTTCCAATATTCAATTTCATGCAGAAAGGAACATCTTCTGCAGAAGCTATAGCCCTTGAAAAGAAAATTGGTTTTGACTCTTGAATTATGTAGGTACAAACCTTCAAAGATTGATGTGTTGTAGCAAAGAAATCTCCAGTTATCTCTGCTCTTATGCTGTTTAAACATAATGTTCTTACCCAAACAAATGTACAGTAAAAGAATAGCATAAGTACTGAAAATAAGCATTCTGAGAAAGAGAAACTCGAGACAGTTATTAAATGTCTTCCTCCAAATCATGAGTATATGTGTAAGTGTGCTCTTCTCTTGTGTAGGCTAAGTTCAGTGCTAGTATGTCTGTTCAGAGTGTTTTGTTGTGCTTTGGATTTTTGGTTTTTGGGGTTTTTTTCAGTGTCTTTGCTTACAGTGCCTCAGATAAAACATTGAATTCAGAGTAATTCAAACAACAGTTGTAGCCACAACCATTCTGGGAAAGAACTCAAGTACAAAATAGAAAGTTAATAGTCTGGAGTGGAGGTTGCCAAACTATGCCGTAGGATCATGTGATGTCCTGTTATTGCTACAAGGGGTTCAAGCCCACTGCTCTGACCCTACCAGCCATTCCAGGCAAATGACGGTGTAATTCTCACAGGAGCTCACCTTCCCTTGTGTGCAAGTAGTACAATTCCAGTGTGGTACTGATTATTTTTATTCATGTAAAAACTCATTAGCAAAAATTGCAAGCCAAATCATGACTGGGCATAAAACCGATATCCTTAGCTGAGATATGGAGTACAGGCTTTCTAATGTGGTGGCTCAGAGACATCCCATTAAAAAGAGGACTCAGTCCCAAAGAGCATATCCCTTTAAAACATGGTAGTGAAACAGTTCCTTTAACAGATTAAATGCTTGAATAATACAGAGAAAACATGTGATAGGATACTAATGAAGAACATCTGCCATCTGCATCTGATAGGGCAAGATGTGGCTTAGACACGGAGAGTTTAGATTAAGTGTGCAGGATTTAACGTCTGATCAGTTTCTATCCTTAGCAGAATAATTTGCAAGCTATTGACTTCCTGGTACAACTTTGAAACCAAGACCCAGTAAGTTTCGGTAGAAAAAAAGATTATTTTCTGCAACACTTGTCCAGTTCAATTCTCTACTCTCATATTTAGCCTTATCCACACTGTAAACCAGTTACAAGACTCAATTGTTTTTACTGATAGTATTAGCTCTACTACTAGTGTCATTAGGCACCTATAGTTCCCCATATAGTGAACCTATATCTATATAAACATATTAAGATGTAAAAATAAGGAAAAAAAATTTAGCTACTCACTGATTTATCAAGCTGGTTTTGTCTGACTGTGTCTTCTTCTCCTTTGTGAACAAACACAAACTTAAACCCTATATCTGAAAATAGGAAACAGCACTTCCTGTGTGATCTGTTGCAAAACGTTATTACAAGAATCGAGGGTGATGTTCTTCTTTTCTGAAAGAGCTCAGTTTCCAAACTGAGGTAAGAACTGAGGGATGAAGAATTCATGGGTGTTTACTTGCTCTACTCCAGGTGGAACTGGAGCTGTCAGTGTCTGAACTACTGCATCTCTACAAGGGTAAGACAGGCTGGTTAAATTCAATAAAATCCCATTCTCAGGACAATAAGTATTTCTATTTGCTCTGGACACTCCTAATCTAAACTTAGTTTCAGTTTAAAGCCATTGCCCTTGTTCTTGCCCTTACAAATAATTTCTTTCCATCTTTCTTGTAGGCTCCCTTCAGGTACTGGAAGACCACAATTAGGTCACTCCAAAGTCTTCTCTTTTCCAGGTTGAAGAAACCTAATTCCCTCAACCATTCTTCATAGGAGAGGTGCTCCTTCCCTCTAAGCATCTTGGTGGCCCTCCTTTGCACTTGCTCCAACAGGTCCATGTCTTTCCTGTGCTGGGGACCCCAGAGGTGGATGCAGAGTTCAAGGTGGGGTCTCACCAGATTGGAGCAAAGGGGCAGAATCACCTCCCTCGCCCTGATGGCCACAATGCTTTTGGTGCAGCCCAGAACACACTTGGCTTTCTGGCAGTGGGCACACATGGTTGGGTCATGTCCGATCTCTCATCCACCAGCACCCCCAAATCCTTCTCAGCAGGGTTGCTCTCCATCTGATCATTCCCCAGCCTTTATTGATACCAGGGGTTGCCCAGATCCAAGTGCAGCACCTTGCACTTGGTCATGTTAATCCTCATAATATTCCCATGGGCCCATTTCTCGAGCTTGTTCAAGTCCTTCTGGATGTTATCCAATCCTTGAGGTGTGTAAACTGCCCTGCTCAGCTTGGTGTCATCTGCAAATTTGATGGGGGTGCACTCAGTTCCTTCATCTACTTAATTAATTAAGATATTAAATAGTGCTGGTCCCAGTATGAGTCCTGAGGGACACCACACATCACTGATGTCCATCGGGACTCTGAGCTGTTGACCACTACCCTCCGGATGGGACCGTCCAGCTGCTTTCTAATCCATCTAAGAGTTCACCCATTGAATCCATCTCTCTTCAATTTAGAGAGAAGGTTGTTGTGGGGGACTGTGTCAATGGTTTTCAGAAGTCCAAATACATGACATCTTTCCCTTGTCCACTGTTGCAGTTACTCCAGAATAAAAGGCCATTGAGTTGGTCAGGCAGATTTGCCCTTGGTGAAGCTGTGCTGGCTGTCTTGAATCACCTCCCTGTCCTCCATGTACCTTAGCTTAGCATAGGTGCCAGGAGGATCTGCTATCTGTGATCTTCCCAGGCACAGAGGTGAGGCTGACAGGTCAGTAGTTACCAGGGTCCTCCTTTCTGCCCTTTCTAAAGATGGATACAATGCTTCCCCTTTTCCAGTCACCTGGGACTTCCCCTTTTGCCATTAGTTTTCAAATATCATGGAGAGTGGCTTGGCAACTACATCAGCTAATTCTCTCAGGACTCTGGGATACATATCATTGTGTCCCATAGATCATTATCAACCAGAACTGATGAATAATATGGCCACTTCTCTGCTCCCTATGGAGTCTTTTCCAATTTTATAGGAAGGTTACATTTTCCAAATTTTCAGGCTTTTGGCAACATTTCTTGACTATTCTAAGACTTCAGGGTGTTTTCCTAATGTATTCCTGAAAAGTTGTAAGACAGTCTTGTGCTACAATTATAGCTGGATTTTGTTGTCATTTCCTAAGGAAAAAAAAAAAAAAAACTATGTGGAGTTTCAATAAAACAAGGGATACATAACCTGATCACATGTGTTCCAGGGAATATAAAAGAGATCATAAAGCTGTTTCAGTAAGAGCACCTAAGCAAAGCTTTAGGGAAGAGGAGTCTGAAGGCTGAAAGCACAAAAATGTTTCCTGTTGATCTGGAAGTGGCTACTTAGATTTTGCTTTAAGTATAGACAGCAAATCATTAAAAACTTTCAAACCTGAGCAGAAAGTGCCTTCCCTACAGGGACAGAGTGAATAACAGAGAAATACAAAACACATTTTCTTTCTAGACCATCTCCCTTCAAGTTTCTGTCTGAATTTGAAAAGTTATGGGTTTTGCCACTCAGGACATCTCTTCCTACTCAGTGTACAGGCTGCTTGCACGATTAATCTTTTGTGAACCACTGTGCCTGGTAATGAATTGCTTGGCTTGCAGGATGAAAAATCTTGCCTAAGGCACTTCATTTTTGCTGCCCCATGAAAAAGAGGGGTGGTCACCTGGAAGAGGGGCTTATCTCAGCTTTGAAAGTGGAACTCCTTTGGAATCCATTGCCCAGGGTCTACGCATGGGTATAATTGTCTGGGAGTACCAGAAGTAATCCTTGACCTCTTCTCTCCCTGCCTGGTGAAGCTGGGGTTCCTTCTACCTTTCTCGGGGACTTTCTGAAGTAACCAGAAGCTCCAGACCACTTCTAGGGAAGATCAAAGAAGAAGTCTTCCTTGGAAAACCTATGTGCTATTTTCACCATCTGTGAGGTAAGCAGCAGTCTTGAGTTTGGCATAGCGTGTTTGATGGGTGCTTGTGGTGGTGACTCCTGACTGACAACTCTATTCTAATTTGAGAAAAAAAGAACAGTTTTGCACACATTGTCTTGAAAGAATTTTAATTCTTTTTGCCTCCAATCCAGATGATTAGATTGAAGACCAGTGGACAGTATTTTCAGGCTGCCTGAAGGAGATCAGATTGCTCTGACCTTTGAAAATCAGGAATGGTTTCTTTCTGAAATGGTAATGCAAATAATCTGACACTACTTCAGGAGGTCTGATCAAGACTAAAATACAGAAAAAAAAAAAAAGAGAAATATTCAAAAGAAAAGAAACCTTTCATATTAGACACTCAGTTTTAGGCACCTGTGACTACATTTTGAGTTGTAGCTAAATTATTATTGTATTATGGGAGATACAGCCTGTTAAAAAAGAGAATAGAGCCACCTGAAAATGTCTTTTTCACATACATTGAGACTCTGAAGAAATCCATGGGGAAGAAATTATGTTCATTGTTCTAGAAAGCATAGCCTACAAGAAATGATTGGGAAAGGAGATTAGATGATCTCTGGAGAGATCTCTCAGAGTTAATTTCTATGAATTTACTATTAGTATTTTTCCTGTATGGGTTTAATGGGCATTATAAACTTATTTAATCCATATAACTGCCTAGGGGAGAGAAGTAGAGGAAACAGTGGGAGGAAAACCTTCCAGAGTCGGAGACATTGCCAGGTGAAGATTGCTTGCTGTATAAAATTAGAGTGCTGTTTAGGTTCTCCATACCCATATAAAATTAGAAAGAATAGTAAGAAAAGAGTACATGAACTTAACCATGCTAATCAATTGAAATTCTATAAACAGGGAACTGTTTATAAACTGTTTAACTGTACCAAAGAGAAAAATCAAAAAGGAACAAAAAATTTCTGCAACAAAACTGTCTTGTTCAGCTGGGGCTTTCTACAATTTGTCACAACACTACCACTGAGAAAACTGAATCATCATGTGCTACTATTGCTCCATCAACTGCTGAATGCAAGATAATAAGCCTTAAATTCGAAATTACCAAGCAGACTACCTGAACAGAAATGACTGGACCTCAGCTATATGCCACTAAGACCATACCTAAGTGATGGCCTTGCAGTTCACCTCATATTCTAGGCTTTCCACATGGAAGGAGAAATGCTGACCTCAGTCCCTGTGTCAAAGCATGTTTAAGAATTTTAACCAAAGCAGGACAGCATGAGGAGGGAACGTGCATACAAATGGAGTTGCTTCCCCATTCCTCTAGTGTGCTTCAGCCTACCCTTTCATGGTGAAAATAAATGAAGTTTTCTGTTAAAAAGGGAATTCAATAAACATGTTAATGAGACCTGTACTGTAGACTCCTCTTGGGCACCCTCAGCCACAACAGCCCTCAGCAGGCACTTTGCTGACCGTTCTCAAGCTTAGAGACACGAGCATGTGGCAATTTTGATTGAGCACAAGGAGGAGCCCAGAGGAGGACTTCGCAAGGTCTGTTGGTAATTCATTCCCAGCTCCTTCAAACAATGTTGTAGGCTGTAGGAATTGCCTTTCCCACCCTTAGCTGGCAGTCAGCTAGCTAATCTGAGGGCTCCTTCTCTCCCTAAGGGATAGAGGTAGGTATTTGCAGAGGGTGGCAGACAGTTTTGAGTTACTCCACTTCAGGTTACAGTTAATCACCTTATGGAGGGAGCTCTCTTTAACGATATAAACAACCTAGACAACAAGTTCTTAGTAGACAGCCAGCCTGTACATTGATGGAACTGTTCCAGATAACCTGAACGAAATCTTCAGGGCTTTTGGTGATGAGAAACCATTTATTTTGGAAAAACAGCAAGTCAATAGTTTTGGTTTTCTGTTCTTAGGAGCCGAGTTGGTTTTTTACATGTAAGCCTGATAATGCTGTCTACATCCTTGCTGAAGAGGAACAGGCCTATTCTGTAGATTTAAAGGCTAGTCCAGCTGCTGATGCCCCTAGAAGCAGGATCAAGTTTATCTGCTCATGCCCGTGAAAACTACATGTGTTACTAGATATGGTAGAGAGGTAAGGGCTTCAAAGTCTGTCCTCCTCTTCCCCTACACCTCATATCCATGTAGGTGTGCTTAAAGGGCACTGTGTTTTAGAAAGAGGTAGGAAGATACATAAAAGCAAAGCAGTTTCAACTGAAGGTATGTGAAAGTTGCACTGTTAGCTGCTCAGGGGTCACAGTACTCACTCAGCTATTCAAAGTTGCTCACAGGAAGAACTACACCAGGAAATATCAATGCAATCTGCCCATCGTGTTAGCCTCTTGAGTACAAATATTGTGATTCTCAGTACACAGGTCAGAATGCTTCATTCAGTTTGCAGGAGGCA